AGTGTTTTATTTAAAGGATACGTATTGAAGACAATGGGATTTTATTATGAAATAATTTATTTATTCATATTTATTTTGAATTGATTTGTAATATCGCAGCATTAAAATCACTGCAATATTTAGGTGGGGAGACACATTATCGGATCGGTCGTGCATCGCCATTTTCGTTGGACGCGAACCTCATCGCGGCACCTCGTTCCATTTGCATTTCGTCGCATTAAATGGTATTAAAGTATTATTAGATAAGAATTATATTACGCTACGCGGACGGCTCGTGGCCAAATGCAATTTTCGTTTCCGCGAACTCGTTTCGTTGTCGGCCTAACTGGAAAGGAGAAAAAAAAATGAACCTCGCACAAACGTAATTTCTTTAACCCTTTCGCTCTTGGATCTTTTTGTTTTCGAGATAACAAATTTAACTTTTTGTACACCGGCACATTTAATTATTTCAAATACTTTAACATTGCGAGTAAAGGTTTGGAATGCTACACATTTATTTTATTATTGCGAACAAATCTCTACACGACTGTCTTCCTTCTGCCTAAATCAATGTATCTTCTATCCTTTCTTTTATTTATTTTACTTTCATATTACAAAGCTAATTTTAATAACAATCTATCAAACGTCGGCCTTTAAATCATAGATAAATACCAAAAGGTAAATCGAAGTATTACATAATGGTCTATTCAAATAAAGTAGAAACATGTAATCGTTAATTTCTATTCGCGAAGGGGTTAGCAACACTCAGAGAATAATGCAACATCGCGAAAGGTGCAGATGCAATGCATCGTGTCCCGTTAGGTCTCGTCCTTCGTTTAGATTATGCGATCGGACTTCCTCGAGTTCCTTCGGCGCTAAGGATTGAAATAATGCTGCGCAGTGCTGTGTCGGATAAGTTTAGGGCCTAGGCGCACCATAAATAAAAAGGCGATACGCGCTAGGAACTACTATAATACAGAGAATGATAAAACCACGAGCATGCCGTCCAGGAAGCGTCGAGGAGGCTGTTCTTGGCAATAATGGACGGTTGACTTCTAGTTCCACACGGAGTGGTGATACCTTCTTTGTCTAACTTGAATCTAGGCTTGACTCGAACAGTTTCATGGAATAACTTCCAAGTTACAAGTAGTGGGATTATATTTGCAGAGTCGCCTAACTCCGAGTGTGTTTCCTCGGATAGCTTGCAGGCTTATGAGGCACTCGGAGACACCGAGCCACTCTACCTCCTACTCTTAAACTGTTTCTTTTTGCAATCACCCAACTTCCTTAACTGTTCTTTAGTATGTGAACTGCAGGATACTTCAATTTCTATCTCAGCTTGAAATTAATTTTGCTTCAATCCCAAAGAGGATGTCCTTCTCGATTAATTTTTTCTTTCACTCGTAAAGTTCTTTGGATCGACCCATGAATCGCATTAACACGGTCAGTGAGTGAAAAATCGATATCGCGGTATCAATTTCACGTTTGCTAGACGTAGGAAAGTATACGTTCGTTTTTGGCTTGCAAAATACCCGCTGGATCCCCGGGTAAACGACCTATTCATTCTCCGCGGGTGGATCCGCAGCATCTGGTAGTAGCTCGTTTCGATTCTCGCCATCTTGTTCCGTCGTAATGCTATCATTAGGGGAAATCTGAATGCGCCCGGTGTTTCTTTCTTCTCCGCGTCTACCCTCTTTATCCGCGGATCGTCGCTGCAACTCCGACAAAAGCGCAATAATCTCGAATAAATATGGCGGGGAATGACCTCGACGGGAGCGCGTTGCGTAAAATGTTACATGGTTTTACACGTTTACCGCGCTCGGTAAGCCGATTTCGAATTCCAGCGAGAATTTGATGCTTGGACGCCGCTGGAATCCAAACGACCACACTGCCCCAGGCAAATCACGATATCTATACCGTGAAAACTATGATTTCGTAACGGATGGTTTCTGATATTTCATTCAAACGTATTGACTGCTACGTTTAGTTTCCACTAGCACTACGACACTTGTTCCTAAACAAAATTCTTCTCGTTGAAATTTCGTCTACGCGTTGGGAGGAAGGTATACCCCTTCAGAATCTTACCGTACGCATGTCCAGACGCGCGATAAGGGATAAATTCAGCGTGAACGCGGCTGCACGATTTATTTCCAAGACAGTCGGCCAGCCGCGAAACGCGTTCGATAAAGCAAAAACGTGGTCAACGGAGCGGCGTCGCTTTAATGCGGCCCTCCTGGCAAAGTAAAAACGAGTAGAACACGTATTTATCGCAGCGTGAATGCACTCGAGAAATCGACGATAAAAGCAAGCAACCGAGAACACTTTTCGAGGGCCACGCGGACGTATTGTTCGCCCAATTGATAACCTCAACGACACTTAGCGATGACACGATGTCCTTTTGGTCTGTCATTTCTGTCCGCAAGAACAGGAACTAGGGGTGTTAGATTCTGAATTGATTTTATAGAAAATACATCAAGAATCATTATCTAGGAGTTTTGGAAATGTCTAAATTTAAATGCCGCGTTTATACTACCGTATACCTCGACCGATTACCTCGACACTCATCTCTTACCTCTCTGTTTCGTTGCGTGAAAACAAATTCGAACGGTAACGGAACTCTCTAATATACATATGTATTAAATTTGTTGATTTCTTTGCGTCGTTTGTATCGCCTTTTTTTTACGGTTCTCACTGTCCGTTATTGATCGGATCGGATTGTGAATGATAATCTCGTTTCTTCATTATACGAAACTCGTATATTCTCATCGTATCCTCAACACTGGGTTGTAATCGTGTTTCGTAATTATTTACGATAGGGAACATCTTGACGATATCGTTAATCTTGAAATCTCCGATCAAGCTTAACGTTTTGATATACTCTTTTACCCACGCGTGGTGATGCAGCTTGCGTACTCGATGGCCTTTCGCAGGAGCATGAAACAGGCGGAAAAGAAGCTCGAAACCGCGGAGAAAGTTTTCATAATTCGGCGCCATGAATCCGAGCCGAGGAAAGTTTCGCGCAGCATGGAAAGGCCGATGAATACGAATCAGAGGACGCTCGACTTTTTAATTACAAACCGTCTCCTACCGGCGTAAGCGATTTTCCGCCCCGTCTCGCATCGATCTTCGAGATGACTGGGGATAAATGGCTGCTTACGAAATTCGCGGAAGAAAGCAGGGACGGGAAGACTTCGTTTAACCAGATGGTGTGTAATTACGATTGTCTAATTACGGAGGCTCTCCGTTGCAGTCGTTTGTAATTAACGACCACCGAGTTGAACTGGAATGCGTACTGATTTTGGCATCCTAAGGAAAACTTTGTATCAGTATGAAGTTCTTTGGGTTCGAATAATCTGTAGTGTTGAAGACATTATGGCCCTCTTTGGGCTTTTCAGTGTTTATTCTGTTTGAATATTATTAAAGTAATCTTTTTCACTATTTCATCACAATTGTGAAACATTTTCCTTTCTTTTCCGATCTTTTGTTTTGAACGATCCCTTATAGCTTGAAGTATATGTGTATGTAAGCTTGCATCGCGTGGAAGATACTGTATATTGAAAAGAAGGTGTTTAAGTGCGTACCGTGTGACCGAAAAGGTGCGAATTGACCTGCAAGATGCAGTCTGCATTCAGAAAAGAAAGACACTGAACTGTACACTGTAGTCGCATTTGCACCATTAGTGCATCGGTTCCTCCGCGGTAAATATAAAGAGTGTCACTCTTGACGTGACCATCTTAACGTATACGACTGACATAATATTTTCACACTTGCTGTCCCCTTTTAATATTTATTGCTCCAAAGTAAATATTATCGTCTTTGAGGAATCAACTCATTCAATTTAAACTTAAATTTAATTGCCATATCTTTGGGTCTCGAAGTCGAGTGAAAGTAATTAGAAAAATCTACTCAAGAAACATTACGGTGGCGGCTTCTTAATATCGGCACCGAGGTCCGAATTAAAACTTCAATTTCACCCTCTGCTCATTTAAAAGTCTGATTTAATCGCTCCCATGGCGCCGGTAAGATCACTCGAGAAGGATCGAATCAAATTTGTATGGCAAATTTTCACACGCTAAAATTGATTCACGCCCATTTTGTATGCGTGTCTATTCGTGTGCAATATCCTACGGGGTCCCATAATAGCGTTGTAATCGCTTTTTCTCAATAACGAGATTCTGACTTTTCATCGTTTCATAATTCCGCAGGCTGACGCGACCGACCCGAGCGGAACGATGAATAATGAATCGAAGTTCGATCAAAGCAAATTTGCATACGTTACCGCGTAAGGCGAAAACAATGGTCCTTTCCTTCCGCTTGCATGCGGTGAGTCACTTAGGCCGTTTTACGGAACGTGAAAGCCGAACGGGACACGCGAATATTCCTTATCGCTTCGCGTTATTGCCAGACACCAGGCGAAAACGTATCATTTCGTTAAATAATATCCCACTTTTACGCTATTAATCCTCGAATCGGCACGCGATTCTTTTCCACTACGTAATGTAGGCGATGTAATTCATAAACTAATCCGACGAAGAGAGACACGCCCCTTTTTGATCAATATTAATATTAATCTATCTCTTAGCTAGCAATTCTTTCCTTCGTTCTTTGCAATTTTCTTTAATGAAACTAATGGGATTGATTCCATACGACTCGAAGAATTCATCTCTTAGAAAAAAGTGCAATTAAAATAATGTCTTCATCGCGGTTTCCTGGACTCGGTAGAAGACGCTAAAATCTAATATCAAGTTCGTTACTCGTGTCCCTCGCCTCGAGATCTTCTCGTTACTTCGATTCCCGCGGTAGCGAGTCTCATGCGTGTAAATTATCGAGGGCTACTTCGATTGAAATTGTGAAGTAATCGTGGCCGTGGTGGTCTATTTTCGGGACAGCCCATTAAAATCATCGTCCTGGGAAAAATCGATCTCGTTACAGGCGATGGAGACGGTCGCAGCCAAGCAATCCATTTTGATTCTCCGGCCAAGATATTGCTCTCCCAACGCGACTGACCATGCGGAACTTACCAGTAGTGGAGTTGATGAGAAAATAACCCTCTGGATTGCCACTCGTGATGGAAAAAGTGAATTGTTGGTCCGAGACGTCACGATCGAACGCTCGGATCTGGAGAACGCTCACACCTGCTAGAGAGTTTTCCGCCACTGAGGGATAGTAAACCGGAACCTCGGTCAACGGGGTGTTGTCGTTCTCGTCCAACACCTCCACGTACACCTGCACAGAAACCGGCTGTGAATTATTTACGAGGCGACCGTCTCGACGGGCATGTAATTCGCGATGGCGAAAAAAATTCGAAAAAAATCGCCCCACGTCGCGAAAAGCGAAATCCATTGTGCGTTCGAGAGTTTTTCGAACAACCCCTCCCTCGACATCGCCGAATCTCGTTTACTCGCAGTGAACGAAGCGTTCGACAAACGTTACAACGTGCTTCGCGCTTAACGAGTGCATTTTACCTTGATTTTTCGCTCCTCGAATTCTGTATTTTACAAATAATCCCAAACTGATGAATCGATACGTTATAGAAGTGACTAGACGCTTGATTAACCCATTCACTGCCAGGTAAATTTGAAGCGTTTCGCCTTGGGCGCCAAGATTTAACCTGTTAACTGCGGAACTTAGTTTTAAAAGAGCTCCACAGAGTGCGGAGTTAAAATCGACCAATGACGAGTATTCACATCAGACGCAAGGCAAATGGTTGCATTATAAATTTTACGAAAAACGAGGAAGGATTACACTTTTATTTCACAAAAGTTAACAATTCCTCTTTGAATATGTTATTCTTAATAAAAGCTTGAAAATTGTCAAAAAATACGCAAGGTGTCACTTCGTAGGTCGTACACCAATATCTTGACTTCTTAAGTTTTTTATTTTTTGAACAGACGACACATCTTCGGAGGGGATTTACTTTCGCTAGAGTAGCCGGTATAAAACTTGGAAATGTCCCATATAATGCCCTCCATATAAAATGTATAGGTGGTTTGGTAATATAATGGAAACATACCACCATATAATATTCTTATTACATTTTATAGAAATTTCGAGTTTTTATGGCCAATGGTAATTTTTTATTTTACACGACACGTCAACCGCATTGCAGTAGAGTTTTGGTCCGACGTTATACACGTCGAACGCACTTAACTAGTTAATACAGATGTGTAATCTCGGTTATTATTTTGATAATAAAAAGTGATATTAAATTTGTTGCTTTCAAAAGAAAATTTACGATCTTCTTTTGCAATAATTCGCGACTCAAAAGGCTATAAACTTATTTGAACTACGAGGCATCTCGTAGTTGGCAGTGAATGGGTTAAGACTGTGACGGGTGTCTTTTTTTTGTTGCATCCAGAATTTATTGCGCTTTAACGTTGGCAAATCCAAATTAAATTTTCAATAAATTTCGTATTTAAAAAATCCTTTTAAAATTCTAATCTTATATCAACCATATTACAAAAGAAAGTGGACGTTTATTTTTGCATACAAACCTGCAGATTCGAGCTCAGGGGAACGACACCATGATCCTGGGCGTACACTGTCAGCCAGTATCCTCTCTTCGACTCTACGTCCAACACGGCTCTGGTCCTGATATTTCCTGAAACAAAACGAAATAAAAACGTGAAGCAAAATCGAGCTTTCGAACGACCGCTGCCGCATTGAACGGCCGATTCGATTTCAACGTTCACCGATAATTAAAAGGAAATCAGGATATACCTGATCACAGGCTTGCATAACAAGAGGAGCGAAAAATCGGCTCGCTATCAGTAAACCTTTTCATCTCGACTTTCGATAACAGCGCTCAGGGAGACGCGAACAGGACGGAAATAGGTCGTTCCGGGAGAAATTAGATATAAATAATTTTATTTCAATGTATGCTTTGAATTTCCAGGGCACTAAATATTAAAAATATAAATAATACGTCAGTTGAGTCTGTCAACCAGTGGTTCCGGATTAGTTGACCCTCCGTAGCTTTTTTATTCCTAGCACCGAAAAAATGGGAGGGTAGAAAAAAAAGGAAAGGAGTCTAGAAGTTGGTATTACCACCTTGCAAGATAGCTTGGCAACAAGGACCGATATGAAATGACGTGCACGTACGTGGCGAGTTGCCAGCCGTGCGCCCGGATAGAGCAAAAATTGGACTGCATTCCTGGTGTTAACACGTCGGGACACGCTGTTCCGCGTGTCTTCCATCGTTTTTGCGAGATTCCAGCAGCCTGCAGCCCGCCTGTTTTTTTTTTTATCTCGATGTTTACCGTCAATGGAGGTCCCGGTTGCTTTATTGAGGTATTAATGTGAAAGATAGCGGACCGATACCAACAGTAACGGAGCGGAGTGGCGGCCCCGATTAATTAGCAATCCGAGATGTTACATACGGGAGCAGATGTAGATCGTAATCAAGATTACTCCCGATTTGTTCTGTCAGTAATTACATCTTCGGATTTCACCACAGCATCTTCATTAATTACGCGTGCTCTTGGGCAGACCGATCGTTGGGTGTACGATAAGCTGCTGATTAAAAAGTTTGGGGTATACTGTTCGACGAGCACTTGGTGTTTTTATTGGAGAGATTGTGAGATGATGTTAATAATTGTTTACTTTTAAACTATACAAATATTGAATAGTTGCTTGGTAGGTACAAAGCTATTTTCATTTGAGAGCTTCAGCAATTTTTCCAAAGGGAAGTATACGTTCGTTGAGACACAAAATTGATTCTAGCAGAGAAGTAGAACTAGATTGGACGCGGAGGGTGACAAGTGGAAAATTGATGTAACGGTACGTCTGTTGTTTTGATACGTGTACAGGGGACTCAAGTCTAACAAATTACAAATGGTTTGGATGAATTACTTAACCCTCTATGGACTCGTGTAACGTTCAGGTAACATGATAATATATCAACATTTTACCAAATAATTTTAGTATTTTCACAAGATGAAGTATACGTCTTAATTGTATAATGTCTCTGATAATCAATAACAATATTGATGACGGTTACCGTACCATCAACCTGAAATATCAAAGTAAATGCCTTGCAAGTCGTTTGCAGAGGAAAAAAACTTGCTTGGTAGAGGGTTAAGAACTTGCTTTGTACGAGGATAAATGAAAAACCGAGCTCGAAGGTGCGATTGGCGCAATTTCAAACAGTTAAAGAGTAGTATATTACGAAAGAAATACTCGGAAGAGTACCTAGGAACAGCTTTACGGAACGTCTGGGTTATTCTTCCAATTCTGGAGGTAGCCAGGTTGATAGCATCCATCTCTGAGAATTACGTGCTACACGTATTTCTCCGCGAGAATGGTGCTTGTGTTTTTTCGTGCCACATATTTGCTCCAAAATGGCGGACATTTAGCTTTAACAACTTCTTATTTATCACCCTACACGTTCGTACGAACTTTGTTACCCTTAAGCTCTTACTGCATCTTCGCGGTTCAGTTAACCTCTGATCCGCTGTAATACGCGCTTCAGAATTATTTTTCAATAAAAGAGACAATGAACAGTCTATAGTGCATCTACAGTACATCATATCCTCGATATTACCATTTCTGCAATCTTATTTACGTTTTAGCGACCAATCTCTTCACTTGTCGACACCATCCAGTGAACGAGATTTTCGCGCAATATTCGAGATTGCAATGATCAAGATTCTATTTGATTGTGAATCTGCTCGCGAACATGTCTCCAAAGCTGCTTGGCGGACATACGTGGTAGACGTAAAGACGTTCGGTACTGGGTGGAAGCATCTAGTCGAGCGAATCGAATGTTAAGCCGAGACGAAAGATCGACGTAAATACCCTGGACTCAAATGGCATTCCACCAGTTTCTATTCAAGCAAGTTCCTTCTTAGCCTATAAAGATTCTTCTTCCTACATATGGATCAACGATAGAGTCGACTTGGGAGACTTCCCTACGATAATTCCATTCAGGGTAGCTCGTATTCGATTTACTTTCTTGGCCAACGGCTCGGGATGCTCAGATTTCGGCAGCATTCAATCAATCCAGCGATGGGTTTGAGCTGGTCGCGTGAATCCTTGTTCTTGCGAATGGTGTTTCGATAACACGAACACGAAGTGTTTGAATTAAGAACGAATGAGATTCAGAGATTAGTCTTTTAGGATTCTTCAACATTTTTATTATACAGTTTAACCCTTTGCACTCCAAGCAATCTGGTTATATGGAGGTAGTCAACTCCGAGACCATTTTTCTTAGATTTCTGAGTTATGGAATAGCCACGAAAAACTCTTTCCAGTTTGTTAAATTATACGATTTTTTTTAGAATGTTACATTTTTATTAACCAAACATAATCATACACAAATAATATAGTCCTTCATTTGATTATTTATCTAAAGTTATTTGAAACAAATAACGGAAAAGTAAAGTATTTTTTAACGCTATTGCTTAAGAATATTGATCTTCTAACTAATTGAATTTAGACACCCATTGCTTATTAAAACTTAATGATAAATTGTGGAAAGTGCCACTGGCCGCGAGAGTAAAACGCCTTCAAGTGCTTGGGCAGTACAGGTGGCTTTAGGAGTGCAAAGGGTTAATAGTAAAAATATTGGATCGTAATCTAACCGAAGTATTTATATTTATTTCATACAAATTATTCATTAGGAAATCTACAACTGCATTATTGTCACTATTACACTAAAACGTTTCCTACCACTCTCTACTTGAGAGGCGTAACAACGATATTCTAAAATTATTGTCCTAGCTAGATTACACGAATATTTTCTAGCACCATTTCCTTACAGCGTCAGAACCAAGTCGTACCCTAATTAATTACGAGGAAGTTTCCACGCGCAGAGCAAACGCTACCCTCAACCCCATCACCGTGCGTTCCCGCAGCATACACGTTACACGTGTTTTCGTTTCTCATTCGGTGGTAGCTGAGACCGACGTAGACACGTGCTGAGTTTAATAGCGAGCAAGTGGGAGAATATATTAAATTTACTACCGTGAACGCGAGTGGTTCGGGGGTTTGCAACATAGGGTGAGTCCCGTCACTAGAGGATCGTCGCAGACGCAGCTGCACTCTCGAAGTGGGATGTTCACTTTTCGTGCACCAGTTTTTCGCTTAAATAATATCACAGGTTTATATGGCGCAGGCTATTTGGTTTTAAGGGCTTAGGTCTAGTCAGCGACGTGAAAAAAATGGGTATTACAAATAATATCTTTTTATAGTAGTTTAATATATTTTATAAAACAAATAAGATTAAGTTATTATACAATGTTTTAACTTTATTCGACAAGAATTTCAAGACAAAATATTTATTGTAGACAGAGTTATTGCCATATTTGTTGAACCCTATTCCACAAGTAGAGCTTTGCGGTGACCATCATAACTTTTTACTGGTTCATCAAAAATCAATCCAACAAACAGAAATCATTAGTTTAATAATTAATCTTGTAATTAATCAAATCCCTTTCTATTCATCATTGCCTTTAGCAATTTTAGGATATATCGAAAACTATTAATCGGATTAACTTGAAATTTGCCGAGAATATTTTTGAGATATCATATTTTTAAAAAATGCAAAAAAATCGACTTTTTGAAAATCCTAACTAGACCTAACCCCTTAAGGAGTAATTAAAAACAGTCGTTCCGTTTTTGATGGTCTAGTGAACTATGAAATGAAGTTTTCTCTCGCGTAAGATTGCAAGTTCAATTTCTTCCAGGATTGTAACACCAGGTTCCTACAGAAAACTCCTTCCTTAGTCTCAACAGTACGTCGATTCTGCAAGTTTCCAGCCGCTGAAGAGGTCATACAGGCAAAAACCTACATGGAGGAAGGTTAATGGAAAAAGTTAAAGGTAGGAGCATCCTTGGTCGCAATGTGAATTAAATACAACTCGATGTATACTTGAGAACATACTCTGACGCCGCGAATTAGACGTTTCCGTGGATCTTGGTGGAATTAAAATTAACGATTCGCATTTATGGGGAATGAGTTTACTGTGTTCCATGAGAGAAACCACAGTTGAAGCCCAGCATTCGGCCGATGTCTCTCAGCCACGAGGAAATTAGTTTTTCAACCTATCGACGTCGCTTAATTACAGTGTCACCTTCGGTCCGCTGTTCCCTGCCGTTTCGGTGCTCCACGTTCGTCGCGAGGAACAAATCAACGCCGCCTCAACTGCTGCGAATTCACAACTTCGGATAATCAACGTTTGGGATCGAGTTTCCCCACCATCTCGAGTTTGCGTGCCCGTCGACGAGGCACAATTTCAAAGTTGGCTTCTCCGTCTCGTTGCAGCGATCGTTGCTACATCGGCCATCTTAATAATCATGACTGGCAACCGACAGGTCTTCGAGTAATTGAGCTAAGTGAAAATCGCGATCCGACCGCGGTCTATTGGAACGTAATAAATCGCTTCTGTTCTCCTCGAGTAAGAAGACTTATCAATATCCGAAGGGAGAAACTTTCTCGATGTTTCAATCTGGTTTGATGTTAAGCGAAGAACTAGGATTTGAAATTAAAATGGTAGATGAATCAAAATTCTAAAATTTTCTTCTTAATTTATAAACAATTTGTCCACAGACGAATAACCAATGGTACTCCATTGATCCCGCCACCGATCTAACGGAGGAGAC